GAAAAGAAAGTGGCCATACCTTGAGAGGCTAGGACACTAAACCTGTGGAAGGAGTAGTCAGGGCCCTTTCAGCTGGCCTAAAGTAACACCCAGGGAGGGGGCTTCCTGTCCAGTCACACTATGGAATCTAAACTCTTATTTCCTCAGCAAGCCCTGGACCACCCATGCCTCCCAGCCCCCAAGAATCTTGAGTCCCTAAAGAGCTCTGTTCTAAAGGCTAATGGGTGTGTTTTCAATAACAAATGAGAAACCACTTTTACCTATAAGAAGTGGAGAAAATTCAGCTGACACCCTCAGGACCTTATGGAGGGTAAAGCCAGCATGGTCAAGATAGGTCTCCTCCCTCCTCCCCTGCCCCCACCCTTCTCCCACCCTACCCCTCATGCCTGGCCCCACCAGGGTGGTAGAGTCAGACTGGGCTACGTCTTAGCCTTTGGGTATTCAGGGGTGGGGAGTGATAAGCCCTCAAGAAAGGCTGGTGTGAGATGGCGGAAGGTTTAATGAGAGGTGGGGGCCTCCGTGAAGGAGATGAGGGCTCCGTGAAGGCACTGGAGCTTCATGAGGGGTGCAGGGTCTCAGTGAGGGATGGAAGACTTTCATGGGGTGGGGAGGAGGTCAGGTCTTGGGAAGTATGGGGTGCCGTGGCACCGAAACTTGGGTCCTGCCCCTCTAGCCCTTGCTGCCCCTGGCCAGCCCAGAGGCTGAGGAGAAGCCGGAACTCTTGCAGGATGGTGGTTTCCTGCTGCTGCCCAAAGTCCCAGTTCCCTTTTAGTGAAATCCCCCAGGCAGCCCGGGCCAGCTCAGCCTTCCCACCTCGCCCTAGGAACTTCTCTTTCTTCTCAGCCTTGCCACTCCTCCTCCTTCGGCCTTGGAGGGGCCTTCCAATTAAGGAATGGAGCAGAAGTGAAAGTTCACTGAATTATCTACTGTGTGCCTGCTGCTTTAAGGGGCTTGACCACATTTGATGCTCAGAAGCAACCTCATAAGGTAGAGATTTATATTCCTATTTTCTAGGCAAAGAAACTACAGCTCAAAGAGGTGAACTGACTTGCCCAATATCTCAAGCTAGTTGTCAGACCCGGTAGAATTTGCACCTAAACCTGTCTCCAGATCTTACAGATACTTGGCAGAGGTTGGGGCAGGGTGTGGGGGAGGGACAGAACATCCTGGGTCTACATCAAAGCCCTGGCTTTGGAAAGTGTAGCCCTCAAGAAAGGATGAGTAAGCCGGGGGCTCCTATGTCCAGGCGTAGAGGCGAGAGGGAGGCGGGCTTCCCGCTGGGTGGCCAGCTGCCATACGGCAGCGATGGTGTGTTCAGTTGGCCAGGAACTGGGTAGAAAATATGATGTTCACCAGTCAGGGACAGCATGACCTCCTGCTCAGGCTTTGGAGAACACAGCCACGGTGCCAGGAACAGAACTCTGGACCTGAATTAATAGTCCTGGCTTTGAATACCCTATCTGGCTATTTGACCTCGAGCAAGGCACTTCCCCCTTCACACAAGAGGAGGTGCTGATTAACGGTCCCTAGGGGCCATTCTGGCTTTGCTGCTTGTTGTTCTCAGCCTCACTTAGCCTCTGCACACTGCACAAGAGTCACACTTCTTCATGCCTTTCCCCAAAAATGCACAGAAGGTACAGATGCAAAAATTGAGGTTCAGAGGGCTGTCATTCATTCAAGGTCCCAGAGTCAGGTAGGACCACACAGAGGAGATACTGAAGGCCACAGCACCATGTTCCAGGGTTGCACCTCAGCTCTGACACCCACAACTTGATTTTGACCCAGATGAGCCTCTGGGAGCCAACTTTAGTCAACCAAATGTTCAGGAGGTGTATTTATTCATTAACAGATTCAGGTCCCTATCTATAAAATAGGGATAATAATAAAACTCACTTCATAGGGTCGCTAAGTAAAATTATGCATGGGAATTGCTTGGTACAATGCCAGGTACTGAATAGAGGTATTCAGTACATTAGCATTTTTAAACTAATAGTTATTGCCACCCAGATTTCTAGGAAATCAAATAATTCTCCAAAGAATTGGCGGCACTAGTTGGGATCAGAGGTAGACCAGGACAGAGAGTTGGGTGAGGAGTATTTTCATGCAGGACCCAAACTGCTCGCTCTCTCTTTCCTATCTTTGTGTCTTTAGTTCTGTCTCTGACTGACTTCATCTCTGCCCTTCTCTTTTTCTGTCTCTGTCTTTCTCTGTCTCTCTACTTCTCATTTCTGTCTCTTTCTCTTTGTTTCTTTCTGGCAGTGAAGCGCTGGAGCCAGCTAGTGCTGGCTCTGGGGAGCCGAATCTTTGAATCTCTTTCCAGCTCAGCGTTCAGGAAGTCACTTCGGTAACCTGAAATCAGCTATGGTGGGATTATTTACACCATGGAAATCAGTAAATGCTAAAAATCGGACCTTTTTTTTAAAGTGTCAGTATACTAGCACACCACACTGGGGTTCTCTTTGTCTGTCTGTGTTTAGGTCTCTCTGTATCTCTCAATCTCTGTCTCTTTGTATCTGCATTTTCTTTTTCTGTTTCTCCTCATCTCTTTCCTCTGACAAAGAACACAGTCACATTCAGTGCGGCCTCCTTACTGCCTTGGGCCAGGCAGATGCCAGACCCTGTGCCCCATGCCCTTACCCCACATCCCCCCACCCCCTCTACATGCTGGTACTCAGAGGTCCAGGCCCAGCCCCAGGCTCTGGTACCCAGCAGGCCTGGGAGTGCAAAGCCCTGAGAGCTGACCCTGCTGCCTGCAACCATGGTGTCAGACCTGCTAGGGCTCTTCCTCAGCCCATAGAGCCCTCTGCCTCCTTCTCAGAAGCTGGCAGTTTCTGAACCCCCTCCCCCACATTACCTTCCAGATGTGCTGAAGTCAGGGCTCTCCTTTGGTTGATTTGACAACATAGGTGTAATATGTAGCCAAGTGACAACATTGTATCTAGGTGGAGATCCAAGAGGTTGTATTAGTTTGCATCTCTTATAGAGAGGAGTTCTGTATAGGTCTGCCACCAGGAAAGGGCTGTGTATATCTCTCTGTGTCCCTGTAGGGCTTCATGCATCTGTGCATGCTTTTAGAGATGGCTGTAATTATCCATGTCTGTGACTGGGCAATGAAAAGAAGTGATTCAGATTCTGGAGCCAAACGCCAGGATACATTAACTCTGTGACCTTGGGCAAGTTTCTGAACCTCTCTGTGCCTCATCAATAAACTAATACTTACCTCATAGGGTTGTTATGAGAATAAACAGATAGTATAAGTAAAATGTTTAACGTGGTGGCTGGCACATAGTGCTATAAATTCTGTATATGCTGTTCTTGTGGAGAGACCATGTGTGTGTGGATGGGTGAGGGCTGGAGGTGTGTATATATGGAGGTGTGGATATCCTTGAAGATGTATGTGTCTGTGAATCTGTACAGAGGAGCTCAGAGCCTCTGCATGAGGCGCTGTGTGTAGCTGAGGTAATACGCGTGTCTCACAATGTGTCAGGAGGGCTGTGTGGATCTGCCATTCGAGATGTGCATGTCTTCCTGTGAGAAGACCTTCATTCTCACCCTGTAACCCTTGTTTTCATCTTACCCTCCCATCTGTCCCCTCAGTGCCTAAAAGCCCTGGAGGCCACCCCCCACCTCCATTCTTTCCCTGGCCCTAACCAGCCCTGCAAGACACGGTGGTTTCACCCCAGGGGAGGGGTCCCGAAGTGAAGGTCTCGGCAATGGCTTGCTGAACAGGGACTATTTTAGGTTTCTCACCACAGCCCGCCTCACAGTTTACCACATGAGTGTCAGCCCCCGCTTCCAGGGGAGAACAGTTACAGTGAAGGGTGACAGGGGCTGGTAAGGCTAGAGCGGGGGTCAGGGCACTGCTGTGACAGAGCCATCATCTAGGCAGCCTAACTTGGTGGATCCAGAAAGGCCTCCTGGAAGAGGTAAGTGGTGCCTGGTAGGAGCGGCAAGACCCATAGAGAAAAGGTGGAAAATATCCATAAAGCGAACTGGACTTGGGTGTCGAGAAAGGCAAGGCAAAGACCCTCAGGCCCCTCTGCGGGGAATCAGTGTTTACTGGGCTGGCCCCACCCTGCAACTCTCCATTCCCCTCACATCTTAGGAAACTGCGCTCTCTCCCCAGCAGTTCCTCTCAGAGTGTTGCAATGGCAGAGTTTCTGGCAGGGTGTGGGGAGCCCTTGCTCAATGGCCTGCCAGCCTGTTGCTCAGGGACGCAGCTACCAGCAAAGGCTTGGCTCATAGAGGGGCTCCCCAAGGGATCCTGGTGGCCCTGACTTCTGACCTGGGCCCTTCCCTGATGTGAGGATAGGAGCAAGCTCTGGAGGTAGGTGTCCACCTTCATTCAACCACCAGATGTAGCCCTGGGCTGCTGGGGTTTGCCGGGGCCAGGCAGGGAGCAGAGGCAGCGTCCGAAGGAAGGACTTGTTTTTAGGAGGCAGTGACTGGCAGTCCAATAGTGAGCTGATTATGACTTGATAGAAATCCAATTAGAGAGACGGGTCTAACACTAAACTATGAGTGTACAAGGCTGTTAACCTGAGAGGCAGCCAGTGTACGTGTGTGTGTGTGTCTGTGCGTGCATGTGCATGCTGTGCATCAGAGCATGGGCTCCTGTGAGAGTTAGTTTGTTTTGGTGTGTGGTGGTGTTAGTTAGCTCACTCATGCAAGTGTATGCTGTGAGTGTTGGTGTGTGACAGTTCCTGGCATGTATGTGTTACTGTATGTGGTGGTGTGGTGGTGTGTCAAGTGGATATTATTGTGAGAGAGTCAGTGTGGGTGGCGTGTCCTGTGTGAGGGTGGATGTGTAAGTGCGCCAGGGGAGATGGGAAGGAAAATAAACGCAGAAGTCATGCTGGGGCAGAGCCCAGGCTTTCTGGCTTCCTGAAGAGGGCAGGAGCTGGCAGCTAGCTTGCAGGAACATTGGCAGAACCTTCATCTTCTATGTCCTTCTGTCTCGCTCTCAGGTCTCTGGCCCCTCCCAAAGACCATGTCGCAGCCTCACTGACCAAAGAGTAAGAGCCTGAGGGGTGAGTGGGGAGAGTGGGAATTGAGGGCTTTCAAGACCCCAAATGGGATGGGGGTGGCCTTCCTGGGCCCCACAACTCCTCACAAACCCCTCTTCCTACAAGAACCCTGTTGCTAGGTAACAGATGGGTGAGCCAGAATGAGGCAGCTTGAGAGACCAGAGGCTGGACCCGCAACAGGAAATGGCCTTGATCCCTCTCTGCAGGGAATCTCCAGGTGCAGGCACACAGCCCTCACACATTCACGCCAAATGCACATCAATTCATAACATGCACAGACACAGAAAGACACACACACACGTACGCATAGATATTCACACGTACTTCCACAGACCCACACACACAGATACACACTCAGAAAGGTACATATCCTCCCACACAGAGCTATGTACATGCACACGGTGAAGACACACAGACACAGAGGCAACTATTCACACAGACCTGCATTCACAGGGATACACACACACACACACACACACACACACACACACACACACACACACACATATGTATTTGCACTGTGTGTTCACCTCCTATAGTTAGATTTCTTTCTGTCATCACATATTCGACTCTCTTTATCCATGTACTACCCCCCTCGGTCCCCCCTCCCCCACCCTCTGGTAACCACTAGTCTGTTGTTCCTGTACCTGAGTCTGTGGTTACACAGACCTGCATTCACAGGGATACACACACACACACACACACACACACACACACTTGCACAGAAACATGTACATATCCACACACTTATAAGACATGAACACACACAGAGCCATCACCTGCATAGACATGTACACACACCCAAACATTCTGCACACACACAGACATACCCACAAGCAAACTCACAAATACTTAGAGACATGTAAAAGACACATGAGTACTCTGAAAGAGTAACAGAAATACAACATACTGAAGCAATAGGAGGCAAAAATATATAAATAAGCACAGCAACATTTCGAGGCAGAAAACCAGCCCTACCGAAGATACACATACTCTCCAAACACACTCAGGCAGCTGGCTGGTAGATCCAATGGTGGCTATGCCTCATTTTTATCCCTCACTGGGGAGGACCCCCCACTCCAGGCCTGAGAGAGAAAGCTGCATGCCTGTGTGAGCGTGTGCGTGTGTGTGTACATGTGCGCACATGTCCAGGTATATGTGCATAGAGTGGCATATCTGGTAGGGGCCTCTGAGTGAGGCATGCCCTCATTTTTTAGCAGAGTACCTGGAATGGGCTGTGTTTTCTGCAAGAAGTTGGAGCCAGGGCCCAAGGAGGATGGTGGACTAGAAGGGGACTTCAGGAGCTATGGGGCTTCAGACCGCTATGGCCCTGACCCTACGCAGGCCCAGTCTGTGCCCTCCTTTGCTCATATCCCCAACTACAACAACTTCTCCCCTCAGCCCACCGGCCCTGCCTTCCTCGATGGGGGCACCATCAGGGGCATCTCAGGTGAGTCCAGTAGGCTAATAGCAGGTACTGCCTGGACCCTGGGAGAAGGAGAGATGTGGACTTGTCCTTAGAAACCTCCAGTATGATATGGGAGACACAGCCCTGTTTTCAACATTCAGTTTGAGGGAGTATGTACAGCCCTACCCTCAGAAACCCCAGGCTGAGGGGCAGACAGCTCTGTCCCAGTGTGAGAGAGGGACCCTGAGGACAGATGTAAAATGTGAAGTCTTCTCTGTGGGGAAAAGGAGAAATCAGTGAACTGGGGACTTCCCGTGGTGGGAGGGATGAGCTTGTAGGTTTATGTCCTGAATCCATGGTGGGGGAGGGGACAAGCTGTAAAGCCTGAATCAGAAATTAGACTCAGAAGGCCTCTGGGAAGTAGGGCATGGCAGCAGTGGAGAGGCGCAGCACCTGGCTGGGGAACAGGACTCTAGAGGTACAGCCCCCTTGCAGCCCCATCCCGTGCCCTACTCTGCTGAGTAGCCCTAACTCTGCAGGGACTGGGGTGACCCTGTTCATCGCTTTGTATGACTATGAGGCCCGAACAGAAGATGACCTCACCTTCACCAAGGGTGAGAAGTTCCACATACTGAACAACACGTAAGTGACCAGACTACCCAGCTCAAGTCATGGCTCGGTCCCTGTCCTCAGAAAGCTCCAGCCTAGTTGGGGACATAGAAACATGACAATAACAACCCTGAGCAATTGCTACGATGTGGGGAGAGTATGAGGAACTTATGGGCACAGAAAGAACACCAAACGTGGTCTCTAGAGTAGTGGCGATCAGGGCAGTCTTCCTGGAGGAGGTGATTTCCAAGCTGAGACTAGAAAAATGAATACATATTGAAGGAAGTGGTGAGAAAAGAGGAAGAGAGAGTGAGAGAGAATGAGAATAAATGATGACTTCTGGAAACCACCAACTGGTTCAGTGGAGAGGTGAGTGGGAGCAGAGTCTGCAGGGCTTCTTAAGCCATGATGAGGAGTCTGGATTTTATCCAGAAAGAAATATGTAGCCATTGAAGGGGGGCGTATAGTGGGGAAGTGACCTACTTAGCTGTTCACTGCCTACCCGAACCCCAGCCCAGCTGAGGAGCCAGAGGAGAAAACCAGCAGGCCCAGATGTCCCCAAACACATTCTGCAGGGAACAGTCTCCTGGGGGCAGCTGCAGTGGCTGGGGGTGGAATAGAGAAAAGCCCTGAGGTGCGTGTGTCCAAGGTAAAGGATCGGCAAGGCCAGTCTCCACCTGATCCTCTCTGTGGCCCTCTCTGGCCACATGGTGTCCCAGAGGCTGGGTTGTCACTGACATCTTCTGTTCTGTGCCTGCAGTGAAGGTGACTGGTGGGAGGCTCGGTCCCTGAGCTCCGGACAAACGGGCTACATTCCCAGCAACTACGTAGCCCCTGTGGATTCCATCCAGGCTGAAGAGTGAGTAGAGGACTTGGGGGAGACCAACCCTGTGGATAGGATTCTGGAGTCCAGATTCAAGGTCACCTCTTGGGCAAGACGTAGCTCCACTCTGTCTCCTTATCTATAATTCTGTTAAGGTCATTGTGAGAATGAAAGAAGATAATGACAATAATAGTAGATGATACTTATCTAGCATGTACTGCTTCCAGGCACTATTTAAAGTACTTTCTATGTATTAACGGGGTTAGGAACTAATATCCTGTCCAAGTTCACATGGCTAGCAAGTAGGTGGAGCTGGTATTTGAACCCAGATAATCTGGCTGCATTTGCTAAGCATTAGATGTATTTCCTCTCAGAGATAACAACAGTGTATGAGCTTTAAAAAATTGTAAAGTGCTAAACAAATTCTAGGGGGGCATTGCTCAGAATTACTTGTGCTGAGGAGGCAGGGAATTATCATTCATGGAGTATCTTTATATAATTGAGATACTACGACAGGTACTTTACCTACTTTGATTCATTTAATTCTCACATAACACTGTTGATATTACTATTGTCCCCATTTTACAAATAAGGAAACTGAAGATCATAATTTTTTAAAAAATAATCCTCACATATACATACATATATGAGAAAAGGAAAGATTGGAGAGATTGCAGAGTGAGAGTCACCAGGAGTTGGTGACTAATTTGCCATTGGGGTATCAGAAGTGGGAGGAATCCGGGGTGGCCCAAAGTCTTCTTGAGGAATTGGCTAGGTGATGGTGCCGTTTGCTAAAGTGGGGTACACAGGAGCAGGTCAGGTTTGGGAGTGGGAACTTGTTGGGCTGAGGTTCATGGAGAGGAATACTCAGGTGGAGGAGACTGCCAGCAAGTAGATTAAGTCGTACTTTGCATGAGAGGCGCCCAGCCCATGCCATACCATGCCTCTGAATTAGCCCAGAGGAAGGAGCATTTTCTCCTAATTGGCACTAAGGCACTTTGATGTGGCTCTTGCAGAGGGAATACCTGGGAAAGAAATGGGACTCCTGAGTGGAGATGATAATTAAAACTGTGTAGGGGAATGCAGGAAGAGGAAGGAGAGGGATTGGCCCTAGGACCCAAGTTGAGAGAAAGCTGCCCTTGAAAGAGAAAGAGCTGCTGGAAAACTAAGCCGGGCCAAGTCAGAGCAGGCAAGAGAGTGGAGCAGAGGTTTCAGGAAACAAAAGAGGGAGTATCAGAGGCTGCCACTGGATTTGGCAATGGAGGTGACCTTGGTGAGAGATCTCTCTTTGTAAAGTAGGGTGAAGGCCAGACAGCAGAGCCTGGGAAGGAGTAGGAGGAAAGGAAGTAGAGACCCAAATGTGAAGTGCTTTTTCAAGTGAAGGGAAGACGAGAGATACAGCAGAATGTTGATGGCAAGATAGGGCTTAAAACAGTTTCCTTTGGGGAAGGAAGAAATGTAGGCATATGTGCAGGTTGGTGGGATGGAGAGACTACAGATGGGGGCTGGTTGGTGGGGGAGAGGTGTCCCTGAGCAGTAGGAAGTGGACGGGATCCAGAGCTCAAGTGGGGGTGAGGCCTTCATCTGGAGAGGGTGGGAGGAGGCACGGAGGAGAGAAGGGGTGAAAGTGCAGAAGTTGGGAGGTTTGAGGGGTTCGTGCTTGTGTCCACATCTTGGGAGCAATGTCATGAAGCCCTGAGAGGCACTCAGTGCAGGTGTTGTCATTAAGAACAGTGTCATGGTTAAGAGTTCAGGCCCTAGAACAGACAGACAGCTTGAGTTCCTATTCCCGCAACATAGCTTAAGAGCCTGTGGCCTTGGGCAAGTTGCTTAACCACAAGGTATCTCAATTTCCTTCTCTAACGGGGTGAGGGGGGTGGGTGCGGGGGGTGTCAATAATAGTACTTACCTTATAATAACTATGTATAGTGCCAGGTGGGTACTAGACTTATGGAGGAATCACTTCATAAGTTATATAAATGTCTAATCACTATGCTGTACACCTGAAACTAATATAAAATAATATTAAATGTCAACTATAATTGAAAGAAAAATAGTATTACTTACCTCACAGCATTATTATAAGAATTAAGAGAATACATGTGTGTATTAAAGCAAAGCCTGACACAAAATAAATGCTGTTATTATTAGATTAATTATTAAGAAGTAGCTAATGTCATGATTGTGGGTGGGGGCAGGGCTTTGAAAAAACTTGGGAACGTGTCTTGTCTACACAGTCCATCAACAGTTCCTCCTTCTCCATCTTGCCACCCTCCTGGATTCTCCGTTTGCCAATGCCTATCCCTATTCCCTGTGCTTAGAACCCAGGTCTGGATGGACAATCTCAGAGTTCACTGAGACTGCCATCTCCCTTAATTTGAAAACTATGCTCCTTTCAACTGAGCCCAAGATGGTTATGGTTCAAGTTAGTGATCAAATGACATCTCAGTCTTCTATGGCACCTGTGGTCACTTCAACTCCCCTGTGTTTGAGGCTATAATACAGTCCCAGGAAGACTCTCTAAG